TGAGTAAGACCCCTTCTTAAGTATGTGTCTTTGCTTTTTTGGCTGGTTTTCAGCGATTGGGGTTTCTTGGTCGCCTTTTTTTTGTTTGTTGCTTCTGCGCTTCGGCCTTGGAGCGGTTGTTTTCATACCCGAGGCACTGTGCTCATTGTTCTGTGTACATTTTGTTTGCGGTGCGTCCTTTTCAGGCTGTGTGTGAGAGCCGAGTTTTCTGCGGGACTGCGTGGTCGTACCCCAATCTTTTTAGGAACGAATCTTGTTTTCGTTGCTGTGCCAGTGCGTACTTTGTTCTACGCCCTTCGTTGGACGACAGGATGCAAGGTGCGCCCACGTATACAGACGTACGTGTGCACTTGGGCCATGGACATAACTCTTCCCTCTTTGTTTGGGGGCTCTTTGTGGTCTTTTTTCTTTCCGTGGGGCGATGGGCTCCTTCACTAATTCATTCTTTTTCTTTTTTCATTGGCTTACCGTGAGTGATCTCCGATGTGTCCTCACTGTCTGTGTGGCTGCTGCTTTCTTTCTCCCCTTATTCTATCTCTCTGTGTGTGTCCAACTCTCCGTGTGCCTCTCTTTCTCTTTTCTCTGCCCCGCAGACCAGTGACCTGAAGCGAAGTGATGACGGTGACGGTGCGCCACGTGCTGTTTGTGCTTTCCCTCGCGCTGTGCTGCGCCTGCGGGTGCGTGGCGGCGGTGCAGCAGGACCAGGTACTGAGCGACATTGATGTGCCTGCAGAATATACCAACGAGAAAATAAGAAGCGAAGCTGTTGAGGGAATGCAAATGATTGAAGAAGCTTTGAAGAAGGCGCAGGATGCCTCAGCTGAGGCTGCGCGGCTGTATACAATGGTGAGCGACAGTATTGAAGCCGCAGAGGCCAAGGGTTCCAGCAGTGGTGGGGGAGTAGCAGGTTCTTTTGAGGCAGCCAAGGCGAAGGATGTGCTCTACCCTGCCCACTCTGCGAAGAGAACCGTCGATCGTGAATTTAAATTGCTGCAGGAAATCAATACGAATGCGCAGTTGGCGCATGACTGGGCGTTAGCCAATCTGACAGAAGGGGATGCAAAACGTGGGGAGGCTTTTCTTGAAATGATGACAGTCCAAGTTTACGAGTTGGCCGCTATAGGCAGAGTGAACACTCTTCTTCAGCATGCTAAGATCGTTGTGGATGCGTCGGTGGGAGCTCTTGGAAGGCTGTATATTACTAATGCCGCCAAGCCACTTCCTGCTGAGATGGTGCCGCGAGTTCCGAAGCCGCCCGCCGACGTGCCTGGCGTTGCTGAGTTGCCCAATGTTGACATTGGCGACTGTTCGGAGCAGCAGAGTGGTGGCGGGCATCCGGAGACGGAACCTTCTGGGGGCGGAGCTGAAGCTGGAGCTGGAGCCGAAGGGACGGGAACGACCGGCACAACGGGTGGGACAGCAGGTGGCTCTGCTGACTTGGCGGGGCGGGACGGCAGTGGGCCTCACATGTGGGTGCGTGCATCCCTGTTTCTTGTGGTTGCGGCATACGCTGTCGTATGAAGTGTTCGTGCGTCTCTGGGACTACGCTGAATCCCTATTAATTACATCTTGCTTTGTGAACGGGGTTCTTATCTTCTTTTTTTCTTTTCTAATTGCTGTCCCTCTGC